ACGAATAAAGACTCAAGTGATGCAGATTTGCTTTTCAAACAGAAGTCAGATTATCCAAGGTAATTTTGTTTCAAGATCTTCAGGATGGAATTAAGCATTCTGTCATGTTGCATTGATTATATGTTAAAGTACAATGTTTGTAAAGACACAGACATGCATCCTGACACATTAGAAGTCGTGAAAATGTATTTTACAAACTGCCTTTTAGGTGCTGGGGTGTTTTGCTATGAAGCAAACATCTGTAAATGGATGGATGGATGGATGGATGGGCGGATGGATGGATGGATGGATGGGCATTACTAAATACGCAGCTACATTCTTCAAATTTACTGTACCACATAGCTTATGCGTATTTTTGATAATCCATCTATCCACCCATTTGGCAAAACTATTTGATTGATAACTATATGATTACTCACTTTCCTTGATTTTGTGGGACATTACTAACTATACAGCTTCATCCTTTTTCGCGAGGTGAGGGCTGAGGAGGGACATAGTAGCACTAAGTTACCACAGAGGCTCAACCAACCAGCTATCTGGCCATGAGCCTTTAGTAATAGTCAATTATTAATTTACACAAAATGTAGCCCTAAGCATCTCAGTTGTGCAACATTTATAGTTACCTAGCATGTTCATCGTTTTTCACTACAAAAAATTGTAGTTCACGAAAGCAGGAAAGTGTCTAAATGGGGAGTCTCCCTGGAGACCAGGAGGCAGGCAAACCACCTCGAAATCGGGCCTCTCAAGCCAAACAGAGGAAGAGGAAGCCGTCTCAAAAATGAACCTTTGTGAGGAACATGAGGAAGAGGGATCAGACTCTAAAAAGAGCCTTCAAATATAAGAATTATACGCTGTACCTGTGTTCCTGAGAAGATCTGAAGTCAGATTTTACCTGGAAGAGTGAACAGAGCATGGTTAAAACCACACTTTACAACATCCACTATTTTACGCTGAAATATTTTGATAGTTAAGAAACAATTCAAAAGTCATCTTTTCGGAAGGCATTTAAACCTGGTTAGTGTGGTGTGGGCCCGGACATAGGCATGGGCAAGGTGGGGCAATGCCCCCCTAAATGCTGTGACTGCCCCCCCACACGTGAAGGCATGCAAAATTTCGAATTTCATAAAAACTTTAAGTAAAATGGTCAGAGCGCTCTCTGCTCGCTTTCAAACTAGCTACTGATTGGTAGATGTAGGGAGGGTGTGGCTACTCACTTCATTTGCTTGCTCGTCTCACTTGCTCACAGTCACGGCACGACAGAGCTCAAAACTCAAAAAAAAGAAAGACATCGTTCTAAATAACTTTTCTTTCGCGGTCTCTCACCGGAATTATT